CAATGCCTTTGTCATTTGATCCAATAGCCTTTCATTAAATAGGAGCAGATTTTATAAATACTGATAACTCTCGGATAAAGAATTAGAATGAAAAAATCCATTAGATATTGAACTCTTGGTTCTAAGCCATCTCCCGTAATGAATCAACAATTCAAAGTGCTTTTCTTGCATATTCTTGATAAACCAGCATTTATATATAGATGTAGGAGGATTTGTTTGGGAAGTAGGAAGCTCCTTTGACATCTTTTCATCTGCAAGAAATTCTCGATGTGAAAACACAGAAACAAGGAGTTGGTCTTTGAATAGAAAAAAAAAATAGGACCTTAATATCCTAATCCGACTATTCTTCTATCATATTAACAATTCTCTCTCTCTTTATAATACTTATGGTATAAAATCTTTTAAGAAATTTTAAAAAGTAAGTTTATTATCTCTCATAGGATCCATTACATTGCTCTCTAACTACTCAACTTTTTAATAACAACTTGTAAGAAGTGTCAATGTCTTTGTTATCAAGGACTTTGCAAACTCGATCAATGCCAGTTTTTGTTTGAAAATCACTTTCTTGCTTAAGGATCATATCCATTTAAGTCTAAGCGTTACAAAGAAACCATGTGACGTAATTTTAAAAGTGTTTCTTTGATCATAACCCCAAGATAATACAAATTTTGTGCGTTTTTAAATGATGATCATATCCTCTTTCTTTTTTTATTTGTCCATAATGCATGTCCTCTTGGTCAAAAAATGAATACTTGATATAGATTTAAAATGATAAATTAATTGCATAAAAGACTTTAAAGAAAAATTTAGTTTAGAGAAGTTGAAGGGTGGGAACATACAAGATTCAACTCGAATACAATACAAATAGAGTTTGATGTCTTTTGATTTCTTTGTTTTTGTTTTCTATTTCATATTATATTTCTTTATTGATTTTATATAGCTCATATAAGGGATGTGCATAATACAAAGTTCATGATGCATATTCGCTTAATTTATCTTATTAGCTCAGCTCACTTGAAATAAATATCTTGAGATAATCTAATTTTAAAATAAATGAAACTACAAAATAAATAAAAATAAATTTCTTTTTCAAAAGTTAGAAAACAATTTTTTTTTATCTTTCAAAGCATATGTTTTCTAATTCTATACAAGTTAGAACATAGATTTTTAATTTATTATTATTTTAAACAAATCAAATTTTTAGTTTTTAATTTTTTAACCACCACTTGTTCTTGGCACTAGGTAGGTGTAATTTAATTTTGTGTTTTGTTTAAAACCAGTTGCGTAATAAATTATTATTTGAAGTGTGTATAATAAAAAGACTAAAAAAAAAGGGAAATTCATTGTACATCTAGACATAAACATAAATCGCTATTCACTAAAATGATATAATTACCAGTTTACCTTTCCTTAAAATTTCAATGGCTTTGGTGTTGATGGTAATTCAATCATTTCATAATATTCATTTGTTATTTCACAAGTAGAATTATCTTTTTTTTTTAAGAAAAGTCAAATGACTAAATTAATTTTAAAGGCACAAATTTTAAACTCGACATCTAGGGTCTTTGTTGTCTTTTCACTTTTTTAACTAAAGTAAAATGACTCAATTACTCTTAAATATATATATAAAAAAGTCTTAAACTTGCAATGAGGGGTTTTTTCATCTTGTTTTTTTTTTGTTATCAAATTGAATGATAACATTATGGTCTTTTAATAAATACCAAATATTATTTAAATGAAAAGGTGGTTGGCATACACAATATCTATTGATAATAAAAATTTCCCTTCTATTTTATCATTGGAATCATCACGATGCCTTCTTCCTAGTATAGCAATGCTTGGCAGCAATGGTAAGATAGTTTGTCGTCAACGATGATTTTTTTCTCTTTTCTCTCTTCTTCTCTCAAAATTCACGCTAACCATTAAAAGTTTAGAGTTGTTCTCTTATTTATTGACATTTCAACTTCAGTCCTTATTATTTTGTTTTTTTTTCTTGGTTTTTTTTGTAAATTCTTAATTTATTTTTAATTTCATCATTCAACTCCAGTTTATTTTTTTATATTTTTAATTTAATCCTCGTTCTTTTGATTTTTTGTCTTTTTATTAAATTGATTTTTCTTTCTAGTTTAACCCTTTAATAAAAAAATTATAGTTGTCCTTTAATTTATTTTTTATTTTAATTTTGACCTTTATTCTTTAATTGTTATTTTTTATTTTGGATCCTTCTGTATAATTGAGTTTTTTTTTTCAATTTCACCTTTTAACATTTGATTGGTTAGGAATTGGACTTCATGAGTTTTTTTAGATATAATGATTTGGATTATAAGTTTTAAAAGTTAACTCAGGCTAACATCATTTTATTTTATATATTTTCTTTTCCAATTTCATTAGATTTTTTAAAATGCAGTTTTTGTCATTTTCTTTTCTATCAAATTTTGACTTGGTTCATGAATTTGACGAATTACTTCAAGTTGACTTAACCTTTATTGCTAAAGTTACAAGTTTTTCATTCTAATTCAAGTTGACTTGAGCCAAATTTTTTTTTATTTATGTAATTTTATTGTTTTGTATTTAATTAGTTAAGAAATGAGCTACACGATTTCTCTTCTAAAAAAAGTTTCTTCCAAGCTATGTTAATTATTTTTTTATTTGATATTATTTTTATTTTTTATTATAATTTAAATTAGATAAAATCAATTTATTTAACCAAACCGGATCTATATCCAGGGTCTCAAGTTTTTTTAGAAAAGAAAATACTTACAGCACTTAAATACAGGAAAAAATATTTTGGCCCAGTGACGTAAGGCCAGTCCATGCAAAAATTGAAGGAGCAGGAGAAGGACACGATTGGATATTTGTGGTGCTTGGAGGAGCTACCTAAAATGGGTTTTGGAGCACCCGCTAAGGAGCATTAAAGCGAGAACTTTTAGAGTAACCACTAATACTTGCGTTTAGAGTAACTTTTCATCTATAACTACTAATACTTACTTTTAGTTACTCTAAAAGATTAAAAAATAACTTTTTTACTATATATAAAAATATTATTATCATTTTTAGTAAATTCAAATGTGTTTTTATCTTTCATCATCTATTAAGTTGACCAAAAAAATAAGTGACAATAATTACTCATTTAATTACACCATTGCGCACTATAAAATTTTCCATATTATAGCTATTTCAACAAATTCTAAGAATTCTTTCACGTGAAATTTGTTTCTATATAATTATTAAACTACACACTGCACGAAAATCGTGCTAGTAATGTTCTTTTTTAATAGCAAATATACCCTTATTAGTACTCACCTTGAATCCAAACTCTTAGGAAAAAAAAAAAAAAACCCTCACCCCACAACTATTTAAAAATGTTTTACTAAACTCTAAAAATGGAGCAACATGTTACAAAACATGTCACTTTAAAATACATTAATATTTTTCTTATTAATTTTCCAAACTCTAAAAAATTTAGTATTTAAAGAAAAAAGCAAAATTCAACACTAAATTTTTAGAATAAAAACTGAATTTTATTGTTAATTAGATAGGCTTATAATTTTTTTTTAGCAATCTTTACTTTTATTGTTGATAAAAATCAGTTCTAAATAAAAGAAGGTGGGAGGAGTTACAAATAAAAGTTCAAAGCAAAATATTATTAAAAGAATGGGAAGATGTAACAAACTCTTCGAGAAAGATACAAATATGTTTTCAGTATATTTAATTTCTGGACAGTGACTTTAAATGAGCGATAACTACAATATTCTCCCTCCAAAGTTAATGAACAATAATTAACCTCTTTCAAGTGCTTCTAGGCACTCATTAGCTTTATTACACTTAACGAAATTTCTTCATTTTTGTCTCATCCTTCTTCCCCTTAAGCTTTGACAAGAACTCAGAAGTTCCAGCAGTCCCTTCACTGGCCTCTACTCTCAAGTCTGCCAGTCCATTGACAACAATGATGGCCAGAGACAAGTCCGGAATCTTCCTCCTCCTCAACTCCAACTGTGCCTGCAGTTGAAGTCTAGACAAAAAGTTGAACCAATTGTTCTCCTTAGACACGTTGTCAATATCCAGAATCCAATAGCTGAATCTCTTCACGTAATCTCTTATTGAACTGTCATGCCTCAACCTTTTCAAGTCTTCTCTCAGAATCCAGGACGTATTGTTGGGCAAAAACTGTTCATTTATCTTCTATTCCAGACCCTCTCATGTCTCCACATTTGGTTTCCTAACATGTAAGTCCTCCTGGACCTTGTCTACCACTATAACTTTGCATCGCCCAACAAATACATCATCACGATGTCAACTCGTTCATCAATGTTGATCTTGGCCACGCTAAAATAGTGTTTCAAGTCCCACACAAAATTTTCCAACTCTTTGGAACTCCTAGCCCCACCAAACAGCTTAGTTTCTAGAACCTTAAGCTTTGAAAAACCAACACTGACCATAGCCTTAGACACTACCCCTTTCAAGACAACAATTTCTTCATCAACAACCTGCAACTTTCAACCAATTTCAGTCTCAAATTCAACATATTGTCCATCAGCCTTTTCAACGACATCCATTGCCAACTCTAATTTGTTGTTCAACGAACTATTTTCATCTTCAAAAATTAACCCCATCAAGTTCTCTAGTAGTTCCAATATCTTCCTAATCGCATTCATGCCCTTTGGCATATTATGTAAAGCCACCAGTTTTGCAAGCTATCCCACAATGGCTTCAACAAAACTGTTTATTATCTTGCCCAAAGTATTGTTCGTTGTTTTGTCCAAAACATCCCATCCTCTAATACTAATTGCCACAAGGTTGACTTTCTCGTCAAAATCTATGCTTCTATATGATAGTTTAGCCCCCACCAGACTCAACCTTCCCCTTGTCGAACCACTTGTCTTTACCTAGCAACTAAGTGTTTCCCCTTACCAAAAAGTTCCTCTCACACTATCCCATGTTGTAACACAAGTGGAAATACAAAAGTAGAGAAGATATACACAGTTTAACACACTGAATTTTAAGAATAATCTCAACATTTTATTAATCTCAACGAAAAGAATACACAAGTCTATTTACGTTGAATTATAAGAATAATCCCAAACTTTTATTAATCTCAACAAAAAGAATACACAAGTTTATTTGTGCATGCGATGCACAATGATTTTACCTACTCATAGAACTTACATGCTACACACTTACATATAAACTATATAAAGACTACATGCAAGTTTTGTGAACAATCAAATGCTAATAACTGCCCCAACTATTGCATCTCCCTTGGCTTGCCACCCAACAAACCAGTTGTCTATTCTACCAACTCAAGTGCTGCCAAAATAGGTGTGCTTGCATGCTTTAAAATATTTGTCGTCCAAGTCAGAATTCGTCACATCAACCTATATCTTGCTGAATTGTTAGACGTACATTGCTACCTAATCTATCAGTGTACATACATGCTGTCATTGCTTATACATGTTGTCATTTGTTCTAGTAGTGTTTTCAACAAGCTTTGGACTATCTATCATCTAGACTCATCGTCAACCCCTACTGTCAATTTTGTCGATGTTGCTGATTTTGACACTGTCCCTTGAGTTGCCACTGTTCAATGTGTCGTTTCAACACTGTTTTTGTCAACATATCCCTAACAAATTTAACTCCGTTACAACTATCATGGCCAACATCAAAGCCATCAATGTTGATTCCATGAATAAAATTTAGAATAACTAATAGAATTTAGAAGCTTTAATTTGCAGGGTAAGTTTTCCATTCCATTATCACCTAATTACTATCATTAACCTGGCCCAAGTCTCAGGTCATGAATGAGTTAACTTGCAAATCAAATAACCAACTCAAGTTTTTTTTTTTAAAAAAAAAAACTAATAAAACCTACCTCGAGCCAGGTTTCAAGTTGGTATATCACCAGGTCAAGCTGGACTTTATAACACTATCAAATGAAAACATGTTATACTGACAACCCACTAAAGGAACTAAAACAATTCTACTTGGATAGAGCCTTTTGGTTCATGGAACGATCAAATTAGCTTCATCTTGTACATCAACACAGATTTTGAATAGAGTTGGAATTAAAAGCAAGTGCAGATTGGGATTCTTCATTCCCCATGACACAATAAACCCTCTTGATGAACAATATGTCAAGCCAAGTTGATTTTCTCCCTCCCCTGCATTTTTTTTTCCTTTCATTTGGATTCTAAGTTCTAATCCATTGGAAATGCAAAACGCACATATTAATATATTCTATTTGCTGACACAGTATTATATATATATATATATATATATATATATAAAGAACATGGTCTTACAAAGAGAACATGGGAAACAACTCACAATCAAGTATCTTCCGATCTTCACTCGCCAATTTCTAGCAGCAGGAAGTTCAACCATCCAATATATCTCAAGAAAAGTTGATATAGTTCACAATTTCTGAATCGCCAAAGCTTCAAAATTTCTACTAGCAGGGTTTCCCTGATTTTAGGTTCTTGGTCACTCTGTAATGCTGCTCAATGTGAAGACTAGATCAAGCAGCGATGTGAAATCTTTGTATGCAGCGAACTGCATAATTACAAAAAGTTCATGACAAGCGGCAGTGCCAATTATATTTGCAATTCCAGAAGAATCAACCAACGAGAATAAACAATGCACTAGAAAATTCAAAACAACTTCCTAACTAAAGAGATAGTGCCTCAATAATGGATATCAAAGCCAAAGAAAAGTAACCCAATCAATGAAATAACAATCTTCAGAAGTGTTGGGAGAAATTTCTAACAGATGCTTGGATAAATTTGCTTCATCCTATCCTTTTCACAATAAAACATCAAGATTTTGTAGATGATAGGCTTCTAAACACAAATGGTAAAACACCACATACCTACAAGTCCTCATTAGCATTCACAATCGAGAAACTTTAGCTTGTCTTTCAAAATGATAACTCATTTCATGGGTCAGGCTAGCTCACTAGCATAGAGAACAGTTGTTATATCAGTTCACATATCACAACTTTTCCTCTGTAAACCTGTACAAACTCCTCAAACAAGCAACAAAACCAGTTCCTTTAGTTTGCATTGGTTGCAACCTCATGAATTTCATTGTACGTGCCAGTTTCCTCGTTGAATAAGTACCTGACCATAAAAAGCAAGAAAAATCAATTAGCTTGTGGGCCATGTATTATTGCAACCACATGCCTGTGGATATCTCATTTAATGACTGCCACCAACTTAACTAAATTCCATTCACCCGACACTCAAGAGGGAAGTCTGTTTTCATTTTTCCTTCTGTTTTGGTTCAAAAGTAGGACACAAAACCAAGTGCATCCTCCTCTCCCATGCTTTGGAGAGGAGATCCATTGGGTTCTTTATTCCCCATGGACATTTGACATTCATAGGGAATCTCTACACAACAATAACAAGATAACATAGAAAGGAATGGTGAAACACCTTCCTATTTATATTGCAAATCATTTGGAAAACCCTCTTAAACAATCGCATGGCCTATTATAAAAATCCTCTGAAAACCTTTCTGCTGCATAAAAAAGCTTATGATGTGCACATAGCTTTGAAACTACACAGACTGATGAAATTAACGAGCACAACACTTCTACAATCTTAATTTGACATGGTTCTCATCAGGCAGTGAGGCAGTGATCTAAGTTGCTCCAAAAAAAGGAAGTGCAGGAAAGTGATCTCAAGAAGTTTAACCAATCCGGCCTGATTCTCATTCTCATGTGCTTGGACATACTAACAGTAGGTATGCTGGTACCATGGATCTGCTTTTCTAGGAACATTTCAAGTGTGGGATGGACCCATTTGATTTCCCTTGGCAATACTCCCACCTTGCTAGATTTTTATTCAGGCCATTATCGCAAAGAAAATATATTATGTTAGCAATCTATTTTATACCCACAACGAAATACAGGGCATTCAAAGACCCAATAGACACCAGCAATAAAGATCTCCATAACTTGACACGAATAGAGACATTTGCCTTAATATGTCATATGAAGCAATGACCGAACTTTATAACGCATGACCTAACTTCTTTATATTGCAATATCTTCAGTTATGGGCTACACAAAACCTTAGACAGGACATCTGTGAGAATTACAACTTTGTTTTTCTTTTGGAGCATCTCAGAAGTACACCTTGGGTAAAACTAGTTAGAGATCACATGTGAGATGTTATACACAAATCTTGAAGGCATCATTATGTTCCTATACTACCAACTATTTATATCTATATATGTTAATCACTTGAATTTCAAACTGGGCATCTATTTCTTTTTCTTTCCTGCACGTGGATATCAAAACAAGGCATGCAAAAAGCAACACCCAAATCATAAATCAAACAACTCATTAAGTTGGGATTTTCTTATATTGTAAGTAAAATGAAATTAAAAAAGAAATTGCAACTTAATTACCATTGCCCTGATGTTGCCTGGCAGAACAGTCCTGTAGATGGGTCATAATAATATCCCAAACTGCTGCTGTAGTAGTACCTGACATGGAGAATCTAATGTTAGTTTGAATTCTATGAAAACCCTAAGCGTATATAACAAAATTGTTTTTGTAGTTTCAGCTACCCCATGTCCCTGGAAAAATAAAAAATTGAAAGATAAGACAGATAAATTGTAGATAATTATTGCAATGTAACCGCAGCTGTAAGATTTGTAAGAAAACAAGATTTTTTAGCCCAAATAACTAAAATCTGTAATATGATGAATTTGGATATATCAATAGTCAAAAGCATCGAGAGCAGAAAGAGATAAAATAATTCAAAATTGCAAAACAAGTCAATTAAAATATGATTTACTGAAGATGTTCCTTACTACTTGCAAACATCCATAAAAACAATCAAAATGTCTACCCACAATACTCTTAAAGGGCCTAAAGGGGATCATCTTTAAAAATAAGAAGAGAATCAAACGATAAAGGAACCAGCTGTAGAAGTAATTTGACACAGCTATACCTAGTCTATCGAAATAAGAATTATTTTGACAGTTCTACAATATAATATTACAAAGTTCTCACTCCATTGAAACATGCACTTTTAAGAAACCTTGTTTCACTTTTTCTGTATCAGATCAAACTCAAATCTTGTCATTCATTTTCAATATTGATCATGAAACAATGTCAATACATAGAAGACCTTGCTTCAGAAGAAATTAACAAACAGTTTGGCTTGAATATTTGGGACAGATACAACAACATTTCTTAGAAAGCTGGGTTATGAATTTTGAACTAACACCACACCATATTGTCAGATTGTCTCTCTAACAACAGCAATTATGGAAGCAAAATGATTAATGAAGTTGATTGCACAAATTCTTTTCTTCAACTTCAATATTTGAGACGGACAACAACAATAAGCTTCAAAAGCTTGGCAATAAATTTTGAACCAATACCAACACCCAAAATTCAGGTTATCTATACTAAAATAACTAAGGAACATTAGCAAGCAAGAACAAGAAAACATGTTGCAAACAGATCAATGATACAAAAAATACTACAAGAAGTTTTATTGCAATTTACTTAAAAGCCTGGAGAGAGGGGGGGGGAGGGAGAGAGTACCCAGAATTCTCATCATAGACATAATCATTTTGCAAGGGTCCAGCTGCAGAACAAGCAATAAAAAGCATTAGTCAAGCATGGGATGCGTAGCTATTTCATCTGTACAACTAACTAAGCTATTATTATTTCATCTCAAAACTTCTACAATACTCAGATAATTATAAAAGCTTACTTCCAGAGATGTCATTAAGACCATCTGATGATGGTTGACAGGCTACATTAGACTTGGTGCCAGGGACCAAATTACTAATGTCAGATGATGCAACAGCTATAGCATTGTCCTCATCATCCTCAAACATGTCGTATGCATTACCGTCATTGCCTGAGATTTCTGCAGTAGATACATTTGGGATTGAAGTACCCACATCCATATCAGAGAGCACTGAAGAGGCTGCACCACGATCAGTCACACCAGATGACAAGTCCTTCTCCATCCTAAAATCAGAATCCTCCAAGACATCACTGATGGACATGCCCTTTCCCCTAGCTAAAGCTAACCTTTCATATCCTTCTAAAGAACGTTACAAAAAATAATTATTCAATAAACACGTAAAAATAATTTCCACACATTTGCAAAAGCCCATGAAGACGTGATGAAAGCAAACTTTTGCAGATAGAAGCTTTTCTAAAACTCATCATCCTGAAACCATGCCTCGTGACATGTATGGATAACACATTTTTGTGGATGTCAATTCAATTAACCATCTGAAAATATTCAATGACAATCCAATAGGACAGCTCAAATTGTTGCATACTATAACAGATTACATAACCATATCCCAATTCTTCTATTCAAAAGTTGAACTGGAACAGAGTATCACTGGTAACATATATAAGGTAAAAGGAAAATTACCAACCTGCCTCACGCCTGAAAACCTCTTGCTTGTCATAATATACATCTGCATAGTGGATGATTAAATCAGTAAGAGTGGACAAAACAATGGAGCAGGGGGGCATAGCAAACAAAAATGAAGACTGAATGGACATCATAAATACTCAGGTATACTTTCCCCTTCAATGAAACCTTGAGAGATGGGGCAAAAACACTTAACTGTACTCGCCATGATCCAACAACTTGTTGGCATCTTCAGTTAGCTGGTCAAACAGAAGCTGTGTCTCAGTCGGCATCTTTTCCTTGCTCTTATTTGATCTTCCTTTCAACCTTCTCAAAGCTTGTAAGACCTGTAAACAAAGGGACCCCTCCACTAATCAATTCTTTTCTTTTCTTTTCTTTTCTTTCTTAGCACTTATTTTTCTACACACCAAACAACAAATAAGTATTTTCAAGTAGTTTACATTAACATAACCAAACATAGGAAAATACTTTTCATCTAAAATATTTCCAAAGACAAATTGTTTTAAAAGAAAAAAATGGAGCCCCAATTCTCAATTTCTCTCTCCTTGACTGCATCATTCAGGAATCCAGTAGTAATAATAAGAAGTTCATAAATTATTTTAATTTAATTCAACTTTAAATTCTCAACATAACAGTTTATCTAGTAATTTTAATCACATAAGATCTATGCCCATTTGGATATCTATTTCCTATTTTACTTGGAATAATTGGGGATTTGGGTGCCGTTATAAATAAAACAGATTCTAATATTTAGGGCTTTGATAATGGAGTTTTGAGTAATTATGGATCGAGTCCTGCGAAGAGTGCGTCCCTCTCTTTTCTCTAAATATTATTCTCATCCTTTCTTCTTCCAAAATCTTCTTGTTACAATATCTCAGGTTACTACTCACAATGAACAACTCCAATTTCTTCTAAACCAAGCCCCTTAACAACTCTTACTCCTATAAACTCAAACCCCTGACAAAAATCCCTAACTCTCTGAATCTCTGGTTCACCACAAGCAAAAACCTTTATGGGATACAAATTCAAAGTTATCCTGCATGAAATTTCCTGCTAAAAAACCTACATAACCATCTTGCATTACTCACAAATAGATAATTAACCATATGCAACTCTAAGCCTGGACTTCAGGTTCAATATACTAGTGTTTTTAATAATACCATGTCCTTGCATAGTAGTAATCAATGACAGCAGGACACTTATCCATGACATATCAAGTGGAACAACTCTAATACAACTTAAATTATGAAAGAATAAACTACTTCAAAAGGGCTAAAAAAATCAAAGAATCAAGCTTCAATCAATTTTACTGTTTCTCCTGGCTCAAGCAAGTTGGCAATGCGCTTCTTCATTGCTCCAATTTCTTCGGAAGAAAGTTCACGGACATCATCTTTGTCATCATGTTCATTAATTCTAACCATAGAGTTTTTCCCAGCATATCTTGGATCAACTTGAATACTATCCAGCCACGCATCCTGCAAAGAACCCATCCACACACAAAGATTGAAAGCAATGCTTTTTTAGTCTTAAACAAGAACACAGACAGTAAGATAGAGTTTGCTTAACCTTGATTTCATTTTGATTGATATATTCAACAAAATTGCCCTCTGCATCAAAATAACCTTCTTCTCTCTCTTTCTCGAGATTAAATGGTTCTATCTGAATGCCATCTTCAACAAAGTTCTCATTCTCCTGCGAAAAGAAAAATCCCCCTTCATAGATTAATTGAGAAAGAGCCCTAACCCTAACCCTAACCATACCTCATAAGCGACTTCAGCAGCAGAGGGATCGTTGGTATCTTCACTAAAAATTTGAGCAGTAATTTCATTGCGAAGAATAGCACGTTCCTTGGCAGCTAGACGAGGATCCTTCCTCTCACTTGGACCTTCTTCTCCAGCTTTGCTTCTGTCCACTATTTCATCTCCACTCTTCACCTTCTTACCTTTAGGAAATCTAACCTTCTTCTGCCTGCAAATTAAAAATAAATAAATAAATCATTACCTGAGGAAAAACTGTATATATATATATGAAGAACCAAATAATAACTTCAGCTCACTTGGATTTTTCAGATTCAGTGTCTTCGATTTCTTCAAGGAAAGAGCGCTTCCGCTTGCTCTCCATTTTTGCTCAATTTTATGAGTTGCTCTCGACAAAAGACAGAGAGAAGGGGGATTAAAGAGAAATAGACTTCGCTTGCCGGCAACTGATGGGGCCCTGGCTTGCTCGTGCTCGGAGTCGATTCAATCTTTTATCTTTTTTATTTCGTAAATGTGAAAAACAACACGTATTTTAATTTGCCGGTAGCCGTGCCAGTTTTCGCCGTGCACTTGGCTGAGTTTTTGTAAAGTAAAAAATTGATGTTCAAGTGCTGTTAAAGTATTTTAAAGAAAAGAAAAAATTCGTGACTTTATTATAAAAAAAATCCATAAAAAAAATACAACATCAATCTCTAAAAATTTAAATATTTAAAAATCAAGTCAGACAAAAAAATAGTTATCCAAAAATATCTAAAAAATTAAAAATTAATAAATTTAATTGAGATTGCTAAAACTTATAGATAGATAATGTGAATAAGACGACTAAATAAAAAATAAAATAAAATTTTTCAATTCTTAATGAAAATTTATTCATTGAAATCATTTAAATTTTTAATAACAAATTTGCTTGAAATTGATATTAAAATGATTTTTGTATTTTGAATAGGTTTAAAATTTCAAAAATTATCTATAAAAAATAAACAAATCTTTTTTCAAAAATAACATCCCTAAAAAAAACCCGAATTAAACGCTTGACAGCATGATCTAGCTGAGGAGTAATAAAAAATAAGGCTAACTACATGATTTTCTTTCTAAGAAAACACAAAATGTAAGGCAAAGCTAACGACCTTTGAGATAAAGGTTTATAGGTAAATAAATATGTTGATATCATGTTATTTCTAGAAATCAAGATCACAAGATGTGACTTGAGTAAATAAAAACAAAAAAGTCATCATAGCTTATTATAGAGACTCAAACATTTGAGGGAAAAAACTCCATAAAAAAAAAAAGATCAATATTTCTTAGGTAAATACATATGTATATTAATCCTAATACTTTTATCTTTGACAAGTGTCTTACCACAAATCTCATTTTGAGCATGTATTTAGGCCCTCATCTCTTAGGTAATATATTTTCTAACCCTATCTCATTTTGAGTGCACTTTCAAACCTTCATTCTTCGGATATTGTGTTTTTTAGCCTCATCTTCTTTTTTTCAAGTGTGTTTTTGAGCCCTTATCTTTTAGGTAATATGTTTTTTAACCCTATTTCCTTTCGAGTGTATCTTTGAGCCCTCATGTCTTGGGTAATGCGTTTTCTAACCCTACCTCATTTCGAGTGCAACTTTGAGCCCTTATCCTTCAAATAGTGTGCTTTTTAGCCCCATCTTTTTTCTTTTGAGTGTATTTTTTAGCCATCATCCCTCGAGTAGTGCATTTTTAAGCCCTCATCTCTTGTTTTGAGTGCACATTTGAGCTCTCATCTCTTGTTTTGAGTGCACCTGTGAACCCTCATCTCTCAAGTAACGTGTTTTCTAACCCTACCTCTTTTCAAGTGCTCTTTTGAGCCTTCATCTCTCAAATAGTGCTTTTTCTAACCCTATCTCTTTTAGAATGTGCCTTTAAGCCTCAACTTAGGTAGTGCGTTTTCTAACCGCACCTTTTTTCAAGTATGCCTTTAAGCCCTCATCTCCTAGGGAGTGCGTTTTCTAACCCTGCCTCCTTTCAAGTGTGTCTTTGAGCCCTTATCTCTTAGGTAGTATGTTTATAACCCCTACCTCCTTTTGAGTGCATCGTTGAACTCTCATCTCTCAGATAATACTCCTTCGAGCCTTATCTATTTTCCTCTAAGTGCTCTTTTGAGCTCTTATCTCTTAGATGGTATGCCTTAGCCTTATCATGTTGTCCCTTCAAGACATCTTTGACCAAATTAAAAAAAAAAATAAAAGTAGAGGGACCAAATTGAAATTTGCTCAAACCCTTAAATTAAAACCTTAAAAAGTCTAAAACGATGTTGTTTTGAATAGTAAAAAAAAGGACCAAATGACTTGTAATTTAGGTACTATTTATCTTCTTTTTCTTTCCTGAAAAAGCTACTTGGGTGACTACTTTTTAGAGACATTTAATGCTTCATCTCTCAATCAAACCAGACAAATCGTACACTACTATGATAACTTGACACTTGATCATACCTCGATGTGGTTCTTTCTAATCAATTGACACCAAAGCAATTATGACGTCTGTCTAAAGAGACTAACTCAAACAACCTTCAACTACTAAAATTTGACAGTTTATAATGATCACTTTGAATCAATGATTGAGACCCTTCCAGTTTGAATTAAGGGTCAAGATTAGTCCTTGAAAAAATAAAATATCCCTTTTCCACCCCCTATAAAAAAGGGTGGATTCCATACATTGAGAAGGAAGAAATCAACGTGCAAAGTTTGGAAAAACTCAGTTCATCCCTTAGTTTTTCGTCTGCTAGCCTTTTTTTTCTCTTCCACCATCATAACTTTGGTTTCTTCAACCACCTGCACCTTAGAATCACCATATCCAACAACGATCCAACACCCTTGCAACCTCATTTCCTCACCAGCATTAGGTGCAACCATCGTAAGCTCTATCTGTCTCCCCTACACAATAATCCTTGTCAACCCCTTTTCCAACTAACCAACAAAGCTTCCGTAAACTACCAACACCTCCATCTTTCTCACGCCAAACCACCTAACACAACCACCAACCAATCATTTTCGTGCCAGGTAATCAACTTCACTCCCCCTTGTTTTTCTTATTCCTTTACATGTAAACATGCAAAATGTGAATTATAATTCATGTTTTATTATTTACATGAATTGGGTTGAGCCAGTCACTAAGTTGTGCTAAGCTAGGTTGGGTCTAACCCATTAAAAAAAAAGAGAAAAGAAATGCCAAGTATGTTGGGATGTATGTCAACTCGACCCGGCTAAGTCTAGCCTAGATGGTTGGGTCGGGCCTTAAGCCAGTATATTTAATAATACTATAATAATATTAATATGTATATAACATATTTTTAAAAGGGCATTTTAAAAATATTTATGAGCTCCTTATATGTTTTTCTAATAATTTTGTATAATATCATGCTATAAACATACACTGTAAGTTACAGACCCAGTATTAAAAATACTCGGTTTCTTCCAAAACTTTAAAAAAATTAAAAATAAAATTTCATTTCATAAAATAAAAAATGTTTTGATTTTGTGCATAAAGTCGAATCCTAAAAATTTTTCAAGCATATTTTCATAAAAAAACAAAAAATTTCATCTTTATTATATTTTACAATGTAAAATGGATATTATAACTAGTTTATGATTATTCGTTAGGGTTTTAACAAAATATCAAAAATCATTCACTAATCATTTTGTTCAATTTATTTTTAAAATGTTAGGATTTAGTTGTAGACTTTGATATTTGAAGCTATAAAATTACATCTTAAAGTATATCCTTAGGTATTAAAATTACAAGGTGCAAAATAAATGTAATGTTAAAATTTAGACGTTAAAATGATTAAGATTTAATTTGATAAGGTAAAAACTTTCTTATAAATGAAAATCTGCCTTGAACCTTAGACAAGATCAATGGACAAAAATACAACTTAGAATAGCAATCAAACAATAAACAGTTTATCTTAGGTAGGGTGTACTAAGGGTAATGCATCTTCTCCTTACACAATCAGTCCCTTACCTAAACTCTCACAGACCATATGTCTCTTAGTAACCATAATATTAGATGATAAATCTTGAACCTTATAATTATAACTTTATGATTATACCCAAAACTCTTTCTTTCCAACACATCTTAGGAGGCAGACTCGTCATTTTCGATGTCACGCACCCGGTAACAATATATACAATACTTCACAAACAAACTTACAAACTACTTCAATATGTAAAATAGAAACCAAAAATGTATCTCATTGCAAGATCTATAATCAATACATGTTAAACAACATCTCAAGCATTCATGTGCTGCAAGTGTTAATTATTTGTTTATCTAAATTATTGTCAGAAAATGGAAGTATATAATAAAATAATTTATATCCTTAAAACTTGTTCAAATATTAATGGATTAATATTCAAAAGCCAAAAAAAAAGTGGTATGAAAGAAAGGAAATATAAAGACTTGCAAAGCAAAAAAGAGAAAATGAAAAAAAAAACATATGGAAAGAGTATATATAGAAACTATTTATTTTTACATTTCAAAAGCTTTTTTAAAAAAATAGTTTTTTTAAATTTTTTTCTTTGCTTCAAAATAATATTTTTTGGTAATTTGGAATTGTATTGACATATTGATATCAAAATGAATTTTTAAAAATAAAAAAGTATTATTTCAATGCATTTCCAAATGAAAAGCAACTGCCACTATAATACTAAATAGGCTCTTAATAAATCGATTAAGTGAAAAAAAAAAACTCATGAATAGATAAACACACAATCATAAGTTATCAAAGATTATAAAAACAAATGATAAACTTTAAGTAAAAGAAAACCATTTGAAAACTTATGAATATTGTGGCATTAATCACCCAAAAACCTAAATAGAACAGACTCTAATATCTATTTTAAAAAGATTTTTAAAAAAATAAAAGGAATGATGAAATCATGTAAAGAAGCACAATTATTTATTTAGTGGGCTCTATAATTTTTACAATGCTATAAAAAACAATGTCAAATAGTTAAAACAAATTATTATGTCCTAACCTATAAAGCAACCAACATCAAACTTAATTACAGACATATCACTATAAAACCTTTAAAACTAATATGTTAAAAACTTACAATAATAATAACATAGATATCAATGATCTGTGACATAACCAAAAGATTGATGTCTTTTTTCAAGTGTAGGAATGTTGAAGTAATAAATAACTCAGCAAGATTAGGGTTGGACCACAGAGAGGTTAACTATATAATAATAATAATAATAATAATAATGAGTTAAATAGGACTTCAAGATGTAAGATTAATGTGAGGATTAAACAATGATAAAAATAAATATCAAAATTAGAGAATTCACTAATGGTATTTCAAACAAGTATAGTATAAACTCTTTTTATTACTCAACTGGAAACTTCACACAAAGACAATTCTAATCGGATGATTTATCATTAATAACTCATTATAAATTATTAACATGATCATATTAATTATCTTATTTAAGTAACATCAAACTTTTCAATATTATCAGGAATTCATGATACTAACTTATGTTAACAACAAATAAAGTTCCTTTCATAGGACAAATATAGGTTATATCATATGGTTGGCTATGAAAGTGT